GAAATTCGTATATTATGGTAATGGTTGATGCATTTACACACTACGTAGCACTCAACCCAGTACCACATTGTAATGCTCATAAAAATGCACAAGGTTATTGTCAACCAAACAAAGATTAAATTTGTTATAACTTACCCTTACACACAGATGATGAAGACCACTTTCATCATCCACAAATTTCGAAATAAGCTTCCGGTACACATACCGTATGGATTTTAAAAAGAGATAAAAAACACAATGAAATCTACCGAAAAGTAAAAAAAAATTAACAAAGACAAAATATAAATTGCCAAATTAATTCACGCCTCATGCCAGCCACAGACTTAAAAATTGGATTTTTTGTTTTAATACCTAATTTTAATACACAACAAGGAATCTCCAAAAAATTACAAATACTTCGAAAAGGACCCTACCAAATAATTGATAAACCAACTGAAGTAACATACAAACTTACTGATTTAAATAAAAAAGAAGTAGCACAACACCGTAACAACTTATTACCTTATTACCCAAAAGAATACGCACTCCGCGAATTAACTCAATTATATTCTTTCACAGGTTTAGACATTGTTCAAAATAACCCCACAAATACAACAAAATCAAAACGTTAATACCACAAAAAATATAAAAACAATTCAACAGCAAAATGTAGACCCTCAAAGATCAAACACACCAGAACCAAAAATGCCTCAAAAAGAAAGAAAAATAGAAAACTAACAGAAAAAATTTTTATCACAGGATCAACAACAAAAATCCGAGCATAGAGAATCATCACATCTTAGAAGTCAACCACCGAAAAACTATAACACATTCATCCCACAGTCTAAAATATTAACGAAAGTTGAACTTCAGAAACAACTTTAGTTTAGATTACCGCAATCATTCTTTTTAATTACTTCAAACCTTCAAATTTCTGTAAAAACATGCTGAAAATAACCTCGATCATTTCTTTAAATTCAGCTAACAGGAATCGTTCAAATTGTCACCTTTATATCTCTAACACAAATTTATTTAGCCGATAAAAATTAATCTCCAGGCATATCTATAACTATAAATTTACATCCTCCAGGTCAAAAATAAATAACTTACTAAAATTTGACATTTAAAAAAAACACTGGATTTGTTAGTAACACACTATGATTGTGAAGAAAACGAACAAAAAACACAACACAAATACGTTTTAAATCAAGTCACACAATGCGGATCCGAACCACAAGCCATAGAAACAACAAATATAGTAGCCACACTATACTCAAAAGCCCGATCAACAACATTAACAGGATACAATATTACAGCAACATTTTCCGAAAAGAAAGTACATTGCTCGCAAGTATCAAACGGAAATAAAAACCGACTAGACCACGAATCTTTCTATCAAAGTAATATAGAAAGATTACTACATCTTAGCCCTCAAGACTGTAAGAATGAACTTAGACGATTAAACTTAACACAAAATGACGGAATGAATAGAAAACTTGTAAAGTTTTCCCAGACTTAGCACATCAGGCAGAACTTGAAAAACACCAAGGTCCCATTAGACTAGACAAAAATTTCCGCTTTCATGGAACACACGGAAGATTGACATACGATCTACATGATAAACACTGGATACCACATATAGGTATCAATGATCCCTCAAAATGCAAAGCAGATACAAAATATAAAGGATATCAAGAAATAATGTTTTTTGACTGGAAAATACAACTTGAAAAAGTACAAGTAACACGAGATTTAAAAGACGACACAATTCTTTACCAAGGCATTCGACTTTCTTGCAAAAATGACCAAGGATATTGCGATCCTACAACACGCACACAAGCAACCATTGTATGGTTTCCTGAAGAAAAATGCACAGTTTTTCAAGTCGCAAAAATACACGCTAGAATGATTAAATTTCATCAAAACTATTTTATTGAATCAATCTCATTTGAAGAAGTCAATCCCGATTAAATCAGAAATAATAACAACAAATTTAGAAACCTCCACAATATAGAAAATAAACTAACACGATTTCAAACATACCCGGAAACAGAACTAGCATGTAAATATAAAAAACCAATTTACAAAACACAATACTCAGAACTCCTTGTTGAATACAAACATGGTTTCGACATGAATACAGGACATCTTATTGTAGACCCTATGGCCACATCTTATTCACTTATCGACGGAAACCCTTATGTCTCAGTAAAATTTCAGAAAAACATAGGAAGAATAGGTGGAAAATTAAAACCACAAGACGCCGATAGTATAGTACACGGTTACAAGAACTATCACTCATGAACCGCACATATCTTGGTGCAATTCACTTTGATATACATTTAGACATGAAACTAGATTACATAATAAGCAAAATTTTTCAAGAAATGTCACGCTCAGAAATAGAAACACTACACCAATTATGTGAACTTGAAAGAACACAAACTCTACAGTCACTAGCACTAGCAGTTTTCAAAATACCAAATGCACAATAATTGTTATCCGGAAAAAGATCAAATTTCATTGATTATGAATGAAATATTTTATGTTATTACACTTGTACCAAAAAAGTATCACCTTTATAAGTTTTTGAAGATAAAATATGCTACAAAAGAATCCCCATATTCTACAAAAATAAAGTATATTTTGTTGATACACTCTCAAGACGAACATTTTTTTGGGACACAGCAGTACCATGTGGATCAGAAGGCAGCCACAACGTTTTACAATTAAATCCCGACGAAGATAAATACTATCTACTAACACCATACCCAACATTAATGCCACCATTAAAAAAGTTTTTACCTGAAAGCATTCGAGCTATAGCCCGCAATCCAAATATCGATTTAAAATTGATAGATATATATTCTTAATCCGATATACAGCATCACATTAGAACACAACAGTTTCAAAACTACTAAGACAAATGGACACTATACAACGACAATCAATAGACCAAAATTTACGAAAATTTGTAGAAACAGCAGGATTTTCAGACATTTACGCACAAGATTACAGCGGATATTTTAAAGAAATTAAATAATACATATTTTTAAACGGTGAAAAATATCGACCACAAGATTTATCACCGATCAATAATTTTAGTTTTGTAAATCTCAAAAACGAAGTTTAAGTTTTTCTAAAATGGCCATATTACATCTTAGAAAGATTGATTATCTTTACGCAATGTTTAATTTTATTGGATTTCTTTTCTCATTACTAAAAGGAATCTATAACACATGCGCAATACATACACAAGTAAACCAACAAGCCAGCGTAGCACGCATATTATTTGCAGGATTTTTTGGAATATTTTCATCATCAATAAATAAAATCCTCCTAGATGCACAAATTAAAGAATATAATACAAAACTATCAACAAATCCCAACACATACGATGACTCAAATAATATTACAAACGCATTACCTACGGCACCCCATTTGCCAAATCTACATCATAATCATCCATTATTATTAGTCTCACGAAATTTTCGAAACTTAGCAATCACAAACCCCCCAAACTTAAGACCCAGCTACATACAAAGCCCCATCCAACATATAGTGACACAACGCCCACCAATTGACGACACATACAAACAAATCATTGAACAGCCCCATACCACCACTTTTCAGTCTCAAAATAATCATTTTTCAGCCAACGATGAGCAGACAAGTTGGATCACTCCACCGATTAAGCTCCCACCCAGCCAACCTCCAAAATCCACTCCCTATTATCCCACTTTTTGCTTTTCCGCCACCTGATTCACCACAAGCTAATACATCATCAGGCATGAATTCTGACACTTACTCAGATATCACAATTGAATAATTCTGATATCGAAACCCCCGATGAGTTCGCAGATTCCGAATCATCCCCTTCTACTCATACCCCGACCAGCTCAACAACCTTCTCAAAACCCCCTTTCCGACCTCTCAAAACCCAAAGCCATTATACATCTCCCCACACTCCTTCTCAAGTAACCCCAAGACCAACAAAAAAAAAGTTCAGTACAATAAGTTTTCTTGCTATGCTGAAACGAAAAGAGAAAAAACGGTTTCGAAAATTTTTTTTTTCAAAGATTTCGGCCGTCTGAGCTATGTTAAACTGAGTCTACTGTCATAGTCAAAAAGTTGGATCCTTTTTTGTGATTTAATTTTCTGTTGCATACAATAATTTTTAATGCTTTTTATCGAAAATTTAATGTTGAGCTGAAATCATTGAAAAGCAAAAAGATTCTGAGAAAAAGAAACTTTTAGAAGAACTCGGCAATCTAAGATAATGAAGACTTAATATAAGTTCTTGAACAAATTTGTATGAGAAAAAAGTTTTAGGTCAAATCAGTTTTTCTGAGCATTAGGGAGAAATGTGTAAAGGACAAAAAACAAATTCGCAAATTGGGTAGTCTGAAACAATTTTTGAAAACCTCAGCTTAAAATCTTTTAAAGGAAACTGCAACTAAGTCAATTAAAAAAGTACTCGAAGACTAATCAGTCCAAGAAAAAAATATTGTTGATAATAGCTAGCGAGACTGGTAGGAGAAAAAAGACCAATTCTCAACAAAAATTTATCAGATTTCAGAAAAACGATATCGTTGAGCTCCACTTGAGCAGTTGATTCCTAAATGCGTTTTTAAACATTTTTGAACAAAAGTTTGATTACGAAAAAAATGTTTATCATTACATATTCATAGAAAAGAAATCGTATGATTAACATTTTTTGTCAAAAAAAAATGAAAATTTCCCACTTGATTTAAAATATTCAAAAAACGAATCAAGCTCATTTGAACTTACCAAAAAAAACTTTTAAAAATTTTATTGAAAAAAGTTTCTGGAAAAAAATGCTTATCATCGAAATTTCATAATTGAAAATCCTATGATAAGCATTTTTTCCTTAGAACCCATGCATGGAATTGTACGATAACCTTTTTTTGTATGGAGTTTTATGATTATCATTTTTTTGTTGGAGGTCAACTCGGGTGATCAACGTTTCTAGATCTAGTAAAATATCAGCTCTTTTGTAGGTTATCGTGGAAGGAACACCGGAAGATATTGAAGAATTAGTTCCCGATTACCTTTCTGAAGTGTTAACAATTGCAGAAAGATGTAGTGACAAAGCAAGTAAAGTTGAAAAACAGTTCGAACGAGTCATGTTACTCATTGGCGGGCTAAAGGAAGAATGCACAGTTGCTAAGGGGAGCTGCGAGGGAAAAAAAACTAACTCAAGCACAGGCTGAAAAAGAAAAAAAAGAGAGGCGCATGAGAAAAGAAGAATTTAATAAGGAACAATTGCAGGAGGATTATGATCAGATGAAATGGAATTTGAACAAAGCAGTTGAAGTTTACACAACGGCAATGGAGTCAGAAAAGTCTTTGGGAATGACAGTGGGTTCACAAATGATTCAGGGAGTGATTAACGCTGTAACTGCTCCATTAAATATGTTAAACCAGCGAAATATTTGTAGTTCTTTTGAATTGAAACGGCATAAGGAGAGAAAATTGGGCGGAATCTACTTTTGGATTGGAGTTCTTTTGGAAAGAGCTAGAAATGCTGTTGATGATGAGGCGAGTTCTAAAACTGTACAAAAAGAACTTCATTCATTGAAAAATTTGACTGCCAGCTTTCGCAATATTTGCAGCTTTCAGGATAATGGGCATCACGATGGAAGAGTGAAGATACTAAAGGAGAACTCAGAGAAAGTTTTGCTTATCTTAGAAGAATCACAGAATAGTTTGAACGAGGACAATAATGCAAAGAACAAACAACGGGAAGAAGTCGAACAGCTTACAGAAGAATTGGAATGTGCCTTGAAAGCAATCAATGCTTATTTTTCGAATATGAGCTCAACAATGCCAATTGAAAATCCATCGCCAAGACTGGACAAAATGATGACTAGCTGCAGCGACGCTATTCAACCTCATGATCAAACTATTAAAATGAAACTAGAAATAGCCCAAACTGGACTGCAGGCTGCCAAAGATGATTTCACAGAATCAAGCAAGAAAATGATTGAGGCCAGCGGGCAGTATTGTAATTCCATCGAGGAGCTGGGCAAAATTAACTTGGATAACGTCAGTCTTGTTGACATAAGAAAACTGCTGGTGAAAAACTTGAAGGCACTTGGACTAGTGAAGACGGAATGGGAGAAGTTGGTCAGGTTCTTCCAGACGATTGCCAATATCATTAAATTTGCCATCGAGGAAAATGTGAAAAAATTCAAGAGTCATGTCTACAAGATTCAACGAAGAGCCATTGAGTACACACTATCCGACATGCATCGCGACATCTTGTACCAAAATGCTAACAATGTCAACAAACTGGCGTTTGTGGTCTCAAATCTGTCTGCCATGTACTGTGACGTTTCGGAAAATCACATCATAAATCAGGTTGCTTCGCTGGGTCAACTCCTTGCTCTTGACCCAGACCAGGAGCGAAAAGCCATACAAGATAAGCAATACGAGTTGAAACAACAGGCGAAAAAAGCCTGTTCGAGTATCAAGGATATTGTAACAAAGCGTATGACTGACTTCGAAAAGAGAGTTAATCAGCGGATGACGGCGATTGAGAATCAGATGAAGGTTGTGATGCCAGTGGTCGAAGAAAATCCAAGAGTGAGAGCGGCTATAAACGAGGCGATTGCGGAGTCCAACCAGATAAAAGCTGACGTTCGAAAAAAGGATAAGGAAGATTATTTCAAACATCTCGACGCTGATGAGTGGTGCTGAAGAAATGAGAATCGAAGTACCTTTTAAAATATTCCGACGTTCATTCTAGTGTGAGATGGGTTTTAGTTTGCGTTCAGTTTTAGTTCACTTCAATAAGGCAGTCACAGCATCTTAGATTCAATCACTAAAAGAAAACTAAGATTAGTCTCTGCATGGCCAGAAATAAAAAAAATCTAGCCTCAAAATTTGTTATAAAAAATTCTTCTCTCTCACAATAGTTTGAATCGTCGATGATAAATTTAAAAGTAAATCATAATCCTTCTAGATCAATTTGAGGAAGTTTTTCAAATGTTCATCAAATTTTATATACTAATCTTCAATTCAGTTTCTTAAAGCAGCAGAGTTGAAAACGTCACTGAGAATTATAAAAAGACTGCTATTGGCGCTAAGTAGTCGCAAAAAGTATAGGGAAAAAAGTCAAGATCGAAATCGTTTTCCGATTAGAACTCGAAACACTTATGTCTAGTCGAGAGAACAACATCACGCACTCTTGTCAGAATAGAAACATAGAACTCGAAATCTCAGTATTCACAGAACAATACATGTTGAATTGAGAGGAATCGAAAGGGACATATCACCTTTTCGAGGACCAAAAACTGAAGAAACTAGGATCGTACCAAACAGCAAAAATGTCTTCAAAGAAATTTTGGCCGATGAAGCAAAAAAGAGAAGCTCTTATTACGAAAAGGGTAAAAATTAGGGTTTAGATTGTTTTTGAGCCGGTTTTGGGTTGTGATTCGTACCCTCGTGTTGATGATCTTGTATTATGGGTTAACCACTGGCAGTCTTTATGAAAGTTTCAGCATTAAACAGTTTTGAGAAAAAAAGTCGGCTACTAAAACTCGTCGCTAACAAAATAGTTTTTTAGTATCATTTAATTTCAAAAATAAAAGAAAAGTATAATTTTTTTGGAAAAATGTTGTCAGTAACACAGTGTTATATGCGACGGACCAGCACTCACCCGGGTTGACCTCCATAGACCAAAAATATAAATCATACAAATTTCACACAAACTTACTTGATTAAAAGTTTGATGCTTTCAGTATATGGTCTTCAGTATTTTTGCGACTACTTTGACCTCCATAGACCACAAATACAAATCATACAAATTTCACACAAACTTACCTGATTAAAAGTTTGATGCTTTCAGTATATGGTTTGTGTAAGAAAAGTCTGATACCTTTCAGGTCGTTTCCTATACAAGGTAAATGCGAGACGATCGAACTTTGATGATTCTAGTGTCTTGAGAACTTAAATTGAAATCTTTTTTTTTGGTTAATGGAAAAATGATAGTCATACATTTTCCATATATGAAATCGTTAATCATGGATTTTTCATGCTATTTTCTGTATGTTTGGAGTTGCATGAAAAGTGTATGGCTAGCATTTTTCCATATATAAAAAGTGTATGACTAGCCTTTTTGGTCAACACGGGCATTGATGGAAAAGTAAAAGTCACTTTTTGAAACTTGGCAGCGAATGCGAGTAGCACATTCAGATCTTTAAACGTGGGAAATTACATAATTGGACTTACATTGTTAGTAATTAGTGTTGATCAATTTGATCATTGCATCATTTCCTTTATTGGTTCTACTATAAGAAGATTCCTTAGACTGATAAGTTGTTTCGTTATGAGTTTTTTTTAGTTTCCTCAGTGCTCCTGAGATGTTTCGGCACTGCTTGTTGGTTTTCATTTTCTGGTTCAAATTCATCCGCCTCTTGCAGTTATAGCTCGCTTCTCTTTGAAAGCTTAGGCAAAAATTTCAACCAACCATACATCAGACAATTTTGTATCTGGAACGTTTGATGTTTTCGAAAACTGACTCATCAAATTACTCAGAATTGAAGATTCCACGAACCAATCGAATTGCCATCAACCGGACAAACGAAGAGATTAGAAGTTTTGATTTTTGGGCTTGACTCAAAATCAACATGTGTATCTGTTGCAGAGATAATGATCTCGGTTACTGTTTTTCTGCTAAATCAAATCCAAACTGCAATTTATATGGACAAAAGTAAAAAAAAGTTTATTTCGATCAAAAATTTACAAATGACCAAAGACAAAAAAATTCCTAAACATAAAAGAAAAAATACCCCTAATTTTAAAAATCGAGCAATCCTTGTCATGTTAATACTCGTACTATATTGATATTTAATCAGCGTCATCCATCAATTGCTTCTGTTTAAATCTTCAGGAATTCCACAATCTGATTAAACATTGCAACCCGAGCAAAAATATAGAGGTAAGATTAATTGATAGCTTTGAGGGTCCAAAAATAACAGCAGGTTTCAAACAGTACTTTAGAAAGAAGACAGCTCAACGCTCATTCATTATAAAGCGTTCACTGTTACGAGAGAGATGACAGAGGACGCTTCACAGAAGTGCGACGTTCGACGTTCGCTACCAAATTTTTGGACATTCGCTAGCAGTTTAAAAGGAGAACTAATTATCAACGAAGTGCTTTGCCCAGCAGAAACAATCAGATTACCAATTATGCATGGAGTGCGCAAGGGATGGGTTGCCCAATTTTTGAAGGATTGCCCCGAAGTCTGCAAATGAGATTGAAACATTTTCTTCTTTGAAGTGAGTAAGAAAATCGCTGAGCTTGGACAGTGAGCTGCAGGAAAATGGCTGATCGTTAGACAGTAGCTTGGAATTGTTTTTCACACCAAACATGGTTTTTAATTGTTATTTTAAATTGAAATTAAATGGGCTTCTAGTTCTATTGAAATGGAATTAAATGGACAAAGGCTAAAAAAAAATTTTTTTTCGATCAAAAACTTTGATCCACTTGAATACCATTTAAAAGATTGATTCGAATTTTTCTTATTTTTATGACCAAAGACCAATGAATATTAAAACAATAACAAACACCTAAACAAGAAAAGATAAATAATTACCTAATAAAATCGCAAAACTGAGCAATCCTTGGTATGGTATCACTCTTCTATTTATCGTAATCAGTCATCGTCATCAAGTTATTATTCATCAATTGCTTCTATCTAAAATTCCAGCAATCCCTCAATCAAACAATGCAACCCGAGAAAAAGACAGAACAAGCTTTCTTGGACAGTTCTGTGGGCCAAAAACAACAAAAAGTGTTCAAAAGCAGCTCGATTATTCATTATAGACGCGTTCATTGCTATGAGAAAGTTGACAGATAACACTTAACAGCAATTAGGACTATTCTAATTCCAAGGGACTGACTCAACGGCATCCTTGGGATGGTACACATTTTGCGACAATCGTTATCAAATAAAAAAATAACTATTTATCAACGAAGTAATTCTTCCAGCAGGGTCAATAAGATGACCATTTATGCTTGGCATGCACAAAGGATATGAATGTTTTTCCAAAATAGCAAAAGATTGCCCTCGAAGTCTGAAAATTAGAAAATGATGTTAATTAAAATATATATTTCCTTTTTCAAAACCAACGCTGCATCAACACCACAAGTGTGCCAGTGACCAATCATCCTAAGCAACAAAACCACATAACCACAACAACCACCAATGATCTCTATAACATTCAAATAATTAAACACATGCATCTGCACTAACCACGGCAAATATCACTACCATCGCTGATGAGCAACGCACATGCAATTTTTCGAGAATTACCCATTTTAAAATTTAAATTGAGCTGAATATCAACAGTTTTTAAATTTGATCTTTAGACTGATTTAATTCCAACATATAATTCAAGTTTAACTTCAATTAACTTTTCAGTATTCAAAAAAGAATTATTTTAAGAAAAGAAAAGCCGCACACTTGTGAGTAACTAACTTAGTCAGTATTTCACTGACTCAGTGTCGGTTGAAATATTTTTTGCAGTAGCCTTGAGTAAGACACTTTTCAGGGCCCTTTAAAATTAACTCAACTGAAAGGTCTTCCTTTAACCCGATTCATTGATCAAAGTTCCAATTTTTTATTCTATTTGGTGGTTCGATTTTCAATCCATTTTGTTGTTCGAACTTCAAGTTTTTTTTTTCATAGTCCTAAATTTGTAATTTTTTTGGTTGATATTTTTTATTCCAAGTTTTATTTTCTGAACTTTTTGAGCGCCGTTTTTTTTTTACTTTGATCCGACTTGATGAGAAAAGTCGAAGTGGCTGAATAATTACTTTTTTTATAAGCAAAAGCTTAAAATGTATCAAACGAAAACATCAATTTTTAGTCCGATTTCGCTCTCTAGTTTGAATGAAAATTACTTGGAGTCATTTTTGGAGCGAAGTTAAAACTATATTTTTATAACAGTTTTTTTGAAATATAGACAGAGATCGTAATCAGCAGCTGCACTGTCACCAACTCCAATGTCCGCAATGCCATCAGCGTCAGAAATAATGGTATCAATGGTGTTCTTCAATTCGGTACTTATCAAATAGACCTTGAGTTACCTACTCCTAAAACTGGCTCCAAGTGTCGCTGGCCAGACTGCAATTCCTCTATTTTTTAGTTTACATAGCCTCAAAAAATATACTGCGGTTTAGCTGTATACTGCTGCGTGGCATGAAAGTTATTTGTTTTGCTCTAAGAGCCACCACGTCTATAGAAAAAAAAGTTTCCCACCACGTTCATAGGGTTTTCCCACCACATTCATAGAAAAAAGTTTCTTTCTACATATGTTAGTGTAATTTTTTGTGATGAGAAAATTTCACAAACTTGTATAAAAACATTGAGGAAATTGAAATCATTTTCTTCGAAAAATATACAAAAAAACTTGGAAAAAACAGAATAACAATTTCAAGTTTTTTTCTAATTGTTTCATACATTAGTTTCTGTTTATCTAGAATCTTTTTTGCCAAGGAAGCGCCAACATTAGTTTCCAGCTTAATAAAATGTTTTCTCAATATGTGAAGATAGGTTCTTAATTCGAAGTGAGAAAATTTTATTAAACCTCCATTACTCTTTTCGATCGCTCTACTCGCTGGATAACCCTGGAATTTTTGAAGTAGTTTTTCACGACACTGGGAAAAGTTTTTGAAGCTTTATTGATGTCAT